ATAAAATTAAGTAAAAATAGTAATAATATTTCTTAATACGTATAAAACTCTCTAAATTAAGAAACAAAATATTTTTATTAACTGACTTCTTTTTCTAACAAAAAAATCTTTTTTAAATGATATAAAATAAAGTGTTCTAGAAGCGGCAAATCTAGAGTGATCCTGTTTTTTATGCATTAGAAAACAAATCAAATTTTATATATTTGTAATTTTTTCGGCGACAGAGATGAAGATATTGTACTCTCTCTTTATAGTTAAAAAAATGATTGAGTCATTTGATGATATTTGATACTACTCCATCGCGTATGTCGACGTCAGAACGCACTTTCCCGTACAGCCACAGGAAAATCTTGTTAATTAGAGTTTCAGAGTGAAGCGCGAGACGTAAGATCAGCGAGAGAAGACTGGGGAGAGAAGCGAGAACGAGAGAGTTTCTTCTGTGAAATTCCGTAGACGTGACTTCAGCATCAAAAGGAAGAATAACTGTTGTACATTTCCGCCCTTTTTCCTTGCTATAGGAAAATTACATCCTCTTTAAAAACAGAAGGTACTTATCACAGGACAAAAGTACATATATGTATATATACCTATTAAGTTTCTGAAAATGCGCGAGATGTTTTGCGTTCTCGATGCGCTGCTTCATTCAATAACCGATTTTTTTAATATTAAAAAGTCTTTTAACCGTAGAAAGTCTCTTTCCTCGCTTGGTTACTTCTACGTGTGGACAAAGCTCAACTAATTAATATTGCATAACACTTGGTTATTCTAATAAAATATGTCCATGACGAAGATAAAAGAAAAACATTTCCGCGCTCGAGTTGAATAATGAAACAGGAAAGAAGCGAAATAAAAGAATCGGCCAGCAAAAAGGCACAGGAGGAAATAGCAAACGAAGGTAAAAGTCGTGAAATTCAAGATTTAACCCCATCCGCCAGTCGAGGCGACGAAAAGCAACCCCTCAGTTCGCTGATATGATAAACACCCGAAATGACAGCAGCATCCGCCCTTTACCTCGTCCCTTTCCTCAGTCCTCCTTGGCCCTTCGAGTTAATCACGTCAGGCGGACGAACCCTCTGATTAAAACGGCCCTCCGTCTCTTCTTATTATTATTGTTATTAGAGAAGGCGAATGCAGAGCACTTCGGGAGAACGGTCGGGAGAGACGCTAAAGCCGCCAGCCTGTATGTAGATACTATGCGTCTGTACGCGAATACGCAGACCTTCCTGATTGTCAGAATTTTCGAGATTATTAAACGGCTGATGAGTCGGGAAATAGTCTAACGCAGAAGTCGTTCCTTAATTAACTCTCATATCTCATGATCAATCGCGTATTTGTATGCATAGTCGAGAATTTTGTTGCGTATTCATATTTGGCGTTTTGGAAAACTATATGATCATTAACATTTGATCATTATCATTAACACTTTGACTGCCATGTCATCTGTATCTGGATGTCGTGTAAATTTTCGCAAAGGCCCTACCACTCATTTATGGGTGACGTACTGTTTTTATTTAAAGATTAAGACTAAAATTATATTAAATATTTAAGACATTAAAGAAACAATTAAAATAATATATTAGATATATTAAGCTCAATGCTGAAATCAGCCGTTAAAATGTTAAACAATTTCTTTTGCTGAATAAAAGTGATATTTTTTGATAATTAATTATTCTTTTTAACTATAAATGTATTTAGTTTTAATCTTAAAATATGCTTATATTATTGACAATATAAATCCGTACATTAAAACTACATTGGCAACATTTCGCTATAATTTAGTAAATACGAATTTGCTGCGCGTTAAAGATTTCGATGTAAATACTTAACGGGGCCATTATCGAGGTGATTACGCGTGAAATATGGTAGTGAGTGTGTCTCGAATAATTTAAATATAAGATTTGGTAAACGATTTTTCTCCTGTCGCCGGTTGCAGGTGGGTATTCGTTGTCGCACATCCACGCGCGCTCTCTTATTAAATCAGAAAATTCATTAAGGCCGAGGTTTGGATTACGCTCGAAGGCTTGGTGCTTAGCGAGAGGATGGGCTCCCATCGCCCATGGGCAGCGACGGGAAGATCGTAAGGATTTAAAGCCGGTCGTAACGAGGCGACCCATGTAACAAATTACAAATAGTGTCGTTGGCTTCTGACGAAGCGCCGGTAACTACTTACGTAGAAGTTGAAGAAACAACTTCTTTCGAGCTCGCGGCGACCCACCGGTCGTACTGGTAAGAAGATCGAGATATCGAGCTCCTCCTAAAGGAGCAAGGAAGGACCGAAGAACCGAGATCCGGTTGCGCGCCCAACGATCTATCCTCGGAGCGACCAATCATGCTAATAAACCCGCTGGGCATAAGTAATACGGAACGATCGTAAATCTTCGCGAAGTCGATGAATGCACGTGCCAATATCGATGCCGGGGAAAAGGCATGTGGGAAGGAAACGATCGGAGAATCTTTCGTCGGTGTTTGACTATAGAAACAGGTCTTCCTATTATCATTGACTGAAATACACCACGTGAATCATCTCTGCTCGATCATGTTCAGTATCGTATAATCGTGATACATTTGTCTTTACACACGCTTTAATATCAGTAGAAAATGATGAAATATTTCAAAAGACATCGTGTCTCCAAGTGAATTTGTTCAATAATTAAATTTATCAATATTCGCATTCAGTATTTATTTTCATGAAAAAGCATGAAGGTTAGAAGTTTAGTCCAGTTCATTCTTTTTTTTTTTAAGTATGCATTAGTATCAATGCTTGACATATTTTTTAATACGGATGGTATTCCGCAGGTTTTTAAGATCTGAGTTCGTTTACATCTAAGATCTGACTTGCAAAATCCTTGATTCGTTATGCTGCGATAATTCGCATTGCTGCACCTCACGCTACACTCCTCCAAAGACTCCTCGAAAGGGCTCGTCGCGTGCTATCGCGCACAGGTGTGCACACGGTCGAATGATCGGCGCAACAAGCTGCACGCGGAGAAACACGCAACTGAGACATTACATAACGTTTGCGATGAGGCAAAAAGAGACCGGGGAAGGCACTGTGAGCGAGCAGTGAGGCACGGAGCAGCGGAAGGAGGATGGACGAAAGAAGGGCGGAAAGAAATGGAAATAATGAGTTTGCACGACGCGACCGGGACCTGCCTCGACGCGTTATAAAACGAGTCCTACCCGCCGGCCAATGATTGCTTCCTTGCACGGGCTAATAGCACCCGCGAACGTAACGAAGGGTTATGTGAATCACGAGTTTGTTATTGGCTCGCTTAATGACCCGTCCGCTCGTTCTACCTGTCCGATGCGCGCCACGCCGAGCTGCCAACGATATAACCGGTCACCGCGTATGGAGTGCCGGTATAATCCGAATTTACACATGGAAGAGATACAAACGTGAAGATATACAAATGGATTACCTACAATGACTTCCTTTTTTAACTCTCTCAACATCATTTTAAAAAATTAAACAACTATATACTTTATAGGATGTGTAGTATATTTTTAGACAACTGTCAAATAAATTTTACTCAATTTCCATTAATTAATTTCCGATGTAGCAAATGTCTATATTGATTCGTAAACACTTGGATAAAATACTTTGGAAAAAACGTTTTCTCAATTGTATAAATTATTTGTAAATTATATGGAATAAACATAAATTTTTCACATTATTCCCCTTTTGTGCTTCTGGGATCTGTGCTTCTATTTCTCAATTAGAGTCTTTACAAAATTTGTGCACATTGAATAACGTACGTGTATAATTCAAGGAAAAGCAAACAAGAAGCATGATATATTGAAAATGAAAAGACTCTTGAATCATATACAACTCTTTTCTCGTTCGCTCGCTATATTATTAATGAAGCATAAAGCATCTAAAAGCAATGTAAAAAGTAATCCGAAAAAGAGAGTATCTTAATGGTAATTAGATCGTTTGAATTATTGCGTCATTTATTCCCCTGCACTTTTGTATTTACATTTCGCGAAAAATATCTAGGTCGCGTGCAAATGAGATGCACTCCAAGTTGGCTGCGAGTCAGCCTTGGACTTTAAAGCTTCACGGAACATTTTGAATGGCTCGGTTGCAACTCTAATGAGGCACTTGACCTGGCGTTGCGCGCATATGATTTGTTTCCGCAATATTCGGAACGTCAGTATGACATTAACATGACTACATCTTAACGGAGCATAAGAGTTATCTAATGTTCTTCGGAATAGCAAACTCTGGATTGTCATAATCAAGACATTCTCTTTTATAAAAAAGTGAATACTCAAAAACTAACATGAAGGCGCGTTGGACGTGTTTACCGTAAAACGATCTTGTCTTGTTCAAGTTTGAAAAGTAACTAACAATAAACCTTAAGTTATTCCACTACATTAATTCTTCATTTAGAATTAAAAATCAGAATTGGGATTTCGTTTATTCGTTCGGATTCAATCGTAAAGGAAACGTATCGACTTTCAAATGCTATTTGTCACAAAATCGAAATGTCGTTTGAAGCGAAATCCGTTGTAAGCCCTTTCAAAGCGTCGTAAAAATTTGTCGCCAGCTTGCCGCAGCCGTATTCTAGATCGACCGACGGTTTATGCGATATCGTAAAGACATTTTCTTTCTGCGTACAGAGTAGTGCCGTGAAAATTCCAGCACACTATCGCTGAGATGCCTTGAGAGATCCCGCGCGCTATATATCGCGCGCAGTTCCGGACTCTCCAACCAGAAATCACAGAAATAGTCCGGACAAGTTAGAAACTCGCTGCGTTTCGACTTCCGTGCAGTGGATGTAGTGTGCGCGCATTCCCGCCCAATAAATTAATCACGAAACTTTCCCAATGTGGAAGTCGCAAACTAATTTGTTGGTCGGCTCGGAAAGTACGCGCGCATACACCCCCCCACGTGTGTATATACTACGCGCGCCCGCGCGGGCCTAGAAGTATAATGGGTATGGATGGGCGCACGTGCGCGGATCCGGCGTATAATCATTGCATTTATATTCACTCACCATCGATATTAGACGAGGATTGATCCACGCCTGCTGCATGTTATCGTCGAGGTACCGTTTCGCTATCCGGGCAATGTTCTCTTGCGGCTCTTTCTTCGACACGGCCGATACGGTGGGCGGGACGACAACGTTGGCATTATTCCTGAGACAGAAACGGATTAACATGAGCATCGATCAGGCCAGGATTCGTGAACACCTCGTAGAAAACGAGCGCAGCTATGATTATTACTGTGCTACATGATAATTGGGACGTTCGAAGCAGGGAAAGATATTTTCGGCCGAAGGCTCGAGTAGGCAGAACCCGAAGATCGAACAAAGAGTTACGTAACCTTAACTAAACATATGGTACATCTAAAGATAGAAATTATGGCGAGTCAAATCAGTAAGCGTCCAAGAATTAAGAAATAATAATTTTTTAAAAATATTATGTTATTCATAATATATAATAATATTTCTCCATTTTATATTATAATTCAGTATCACAAAGTATTCCGTGCAAATTGGTGAAATTACCACAATTTGTCGACTATATATGAATGTCACTTTAGAAAATAGGCGGTACCATGATCATAATCGTAGTTGGCATGTAGTTTGCTGGAACATTTCGGTGAACGATGTCAGGTCACTTGTGCACGCACGAAATTCTCGGCATGCGTAGAATAACTTCAAAGTCGAAGCACGTGTGCGTCTCTTCCCGAGAAGAGAACATTCGCGTATGACTGAAACGAGGTCTTCGATTTGCTTAAAGTACGTCAGAACGTGCCTGAATTTCATGTCATTGTAACCCGTACAACACATATTTTTCCGTGCATCTTCGACGCAATTCAATCACAGTAATAATGTCTGTTAATCTTTTGCGCTTTAAAATTTTGTGCTAGAATAGTTTGAAATAATTTATTATTTTAACATTATGAAACTCTGTTAAAATTTTATAAAAACTCCAAAAATATGTCTGCAAAATTAGAATTGGTCATTACATTAAGTACATGTAATACAAAATGCAAAAATAATCTTTTAAAATGCGAGAAATATTTTGTCTAGATGAAAACTTCACTTGTCAAAAATACCTACATGCATAAAATTATTGTAAATTATTCTGTCTAGTGTATACAGGATATGTGAATGCATAGGGAACTCCTTTATAAATACTTTAAATCTTAAGTTTTTTTTTTTTTTCATAATTCTTAAACAATCAACTCATTTGTTTTTCGGTAGGATAAAGGAGTCGTTTGATAGCAGGATAAATTAAATACAGATTGCACAATCGCGCGCGATCGACAGCACTAAAGTCTAGTGACGTGCTGCACGGCGTTAAACGCTATTATTTAGTTGGATGAGTTATTAATATGAACGACATTTGAGGGAGAATGGGGTCTAAACGCAGAATGGGTGATGCGGGTGTGTATGGGGCATTGTGGGGCAGGAGGCCACGAAATTAACGGTCTCCTGTGCCGTACGGCGATGTATCAAACCGAATCTATTGTGCAAGCGCCACACCATTGCCACCGTCACCGGCCATCACTGGCCGCCAGATTGCACGTTGCACGACGTAGGAAACAGCTCGGAATGAGGAGGAGAGGTCGATACGATACGTATCTCCCCGGCGCTACGAAGGATCATTATAACATTGCAGCCGCAACTGGTTATCGACGTCTTGATTGGATTAACGTAACGATGTCCGGCGTGCCCGAAAGAATACATTCTCACGACGTATTAACAGAAGACCATTAATTTTCTGTAGACCGTTACTTAAGTGAAATTACCGCTAATGAGAAGCAAATAAAATTATTGATAAAGTAGATAGATATCTATACGCATGCAAAGACTGCATCCAAAAATTATTTCTAATCGTACTTAATTAAACGGACAATTAAAAAATATGTGAATATTTCAATCACTTGATTTGTTATCAAATTTTCGATATAAGGACGAGAGTCTAAGTATAGTTTTTATATTTCAGAACACTTGTCCAGCGATAAAGTTTTGTAAAATACACAGAAAAAAGAAAGAATATAAAATTACTAATTCTTCACACTTGTACGAGTTAAGAAGATGTAGTCATAAGGGAATTTCCTTCTAATAATTTCTTACGACTGTAAGACGCTATTACTCATCATGCATGCATTCTAATGACGCGAAGCGCGCTTCGGCGTAGCCAGACAGTGACTGAATTCCCCATCGTGCGTTCACAATTATCCCATTAATCCCCAGATGGGTTACGCTGTGTGTAGACTTTTTAACTTCCTCGCGACGTCTTCGAGGCTTACGCGCATCCCGTATGCGGCATTGCTTCATGTAAAATTAATTATCCACCTATCCCGCGGCAGGTACCGAAATTTACGTCCGCTGTTCGTTTCTGTCAGAGCTGGGTCGAGGAAGAGTCTGACAGAACGTTCGATCCACGCCACATATCTAAACAATTTAATACTTGAACTTTTGTAACGCGATTCTCATAAAACAAATTAAATTTAAACTTTATGCTGTTTTGTATCTTTTAGTTAAAGCCTTGAAATACACTTTTGTAAAAAGATGACTTTTGTCAAAAAACAAGCATTATGCATACGTGCACAGAGAAGTTCTTGACGATCAAGATATCTATATTGAAGATATCGATCGTATCATATTATACACTTGCTTCCTTAAGTACAATAACAATTTAAAATAATAATTATCGTAATTACAGTAAATTGTTATTGTACTTAATGATCCCCCTATTTTTCCTCAGGATATCACGCTGCTCTCCGACCGCTCCTGTTTTCAGCAGATCCCGTAAAGCGTGGTCCCGTGCGCACAATGCACGCCTATGTCGCCTATGAATAATCGCGCGCCCGCGCGTGTGTGTATATATACAAACATTACGAAACACGCATTCGCATTCAATGGAGAGTTCCTCAGCTCCGAAGCGCGCGCTTAAGCGACGCGCGGTGTGACTGCGAAACGAGCGGGGCTGAGACGCGGATACGCCGTGGATATCCCATAAGTGAATTATGAGAGTTTATCGCGACTCCGTCGCCCCGTGCCTGCTGTCGTGGCGCAGCTGCCGGTTCAGGCCTCCCCAGCGAGTTAAATTATTGCCGGGATCCCCCGAAACCGTCTAAATTATTGGTCCCGGCTACGGATCAGCACCTCGAACACCTTAAAGACGCGAACTCCTCCGTCCGGAATACGTACAATCTCGAATGTCGAGCAATTTACCCGGTTACGTACGATTACCAGGCGGTTTCCTTTCGTGGAGCAAGTCTACCTTCTCAAAGCAAAAATATAGGCACAACATATTCTTGGTTTTTTTTCCAGCCAGTTTTCTCTTCTCCGGTAATGGTTAACAAAACTAAATTTGCAGATAAAAAGTGCGGACTAAAGATAAAATTTAACATTTTATTTCTTAGCAATGCGAAGCAATGCAACATCAAATGTCATTTTAACCTATTTAAAAAATTAAAATATGTTACTTTTGATAATTATTTCATTATTTTTAACTCTGTCTTTTATATCAAGAGAAAAAAACACAAATGGAGTTATAGAGAATAATTATATAGAATATTTATTATGCAGTCTTTATGCAAAACGGTACATTTAGTTTGTCAAAAGTCATAAAAGCATTATTGAATGCTTCAAATGGAATCTTCAAATAGAATGAATTCGAATAGAAGCAATTAACTGTCGTTAAATTTGGATTTTCGTCATGTGCATGATGTTTAAAATATAATTAATAATTTTCTAATCGTTTATAGATTGACTTTATATATTAACATCAATAATATTTTAATCGTGGGAATTTAAAGAGACGCTTACGATCGCTATCACAATGGCTATCGATCGATCGTTTCTTTTTCATTCATCCGCATCAACTCAACGACGCGAATATAAGTATCCGGGACGATCAGCGAAGGTGGAACATGGTACTTTCCCATTCTTCTCGTATAAGGCGCAACGAGGTAAGTGTGGGAGTTAATAACCCAGAGGATGAAAAAGTAGCCATCTGTACGAAGCAAGCGTGAGGCGCGAGTAAAGAAGGAGGAACAGTACAAAGAGGGATACGACGAGAGAAGATCGGACGACCATAGCAAGAAAGATAATCTTCAGGACTACGCATATACTTCCTTTTGCTCGTCTCCGCGAGTTTTACGGAACCTCCTCGGCGGGACGCGAGGAGAGGCGACCAACGGACAAAATCCAACGCCGAGCCGAGGCGAACCGCGCCGTTACGCTCGCTCTAAATCTCCGTAAATGCGTCGCGGTCGCCCGGCAGTCTCCCACCTCCTGTTTTCTGCAGGTGTATCCCCCTATACAAACCTCTCGAGACGGTTCTCACGAAAATCCGCGCCGGCCGCTCGCTGAATGAAAATTCACGGTAGACTTGAGAAACTTACTTCGTCTCGCGTCCGCGAGCAATGGAGCGGGCAATGGAAACGAAAATGTACGGCGCGTTGCGCTGTGTGCCAAAAGCAACGCCTGTCGCGTCGCCAAGACGAGAAACTGCGAATGTTTTTAATTTTAATATAAAAGAAAGCTCAACTTATAAGACGAATATTTATTCCATACATGAAGAGTTTCTTACCTTTCGACGTGTTAATTTAATAAAAATGTGTAAACTTGAACGATCTATGTATGCATTTTCGTTTTGTTTCGTTCAACCATCATCACTGCATTTACAACGTGTGCAGCATGAAAGATGAAAGCAACGGACACTCGAATGTTCGTCCAAACTATACAACTTATCCCGCCAAAACTCGCGGCAAAGTCAGAAGCCAATATGGAGGGATCCTTGTCACACACTTTATGAGTACCCGAACGATAAACTCGATAATTTAATGAGTTTTCTCGCTCAATACCTGTCCTTGCACTGTCGTTAAATCAGCAAATTGCTACTACGCAGCAGGTATTATCTCGCATATAGATCTTAGGCGATCGTTTCCTTTAAGAGACTGAGAATGTTTTCAAATGTTTTCATGATCTTTACTAGACATTAGCGTAATTTTCTGTGCCAAAGAAGAAGTACAATTCTGTCATTTTATTCAGATCTCGAAGAATAAAAAGATTAAACGAAAAAGATACGAAGTTATTATGCACAAGCATCGAGTATTAAAAGTAAGATAAATTAATAAATAAAGAATAAATAACTCTTTAACAATATTTTTATCG